CTGGGATTATAGGCGTGAGCTACCGCACCCGGCCAAATTTTGGGTAATTTTTGTATACAGTATGAGCTAAAGGTCCATTGTTTTTCTTTTCCAAGTGCATATTCAGTTGTCCCAGCATGATTTGTTGAAAAGACTTTTCTTTCCCCTTACCTCTTGGCATTCTTGTTGATAGTTTCTGTTCTCTGTGTGCCCACTTTCCCTGGTGCAGCCTTACTACCTCTTCTCACTTATGGGCCAGTAACTCACAAATGTATCCCTCCTGCCTAAACCCTTCTTCTGAGCCTCTTACTCATATATAGCTTGACATCTCCACTTAAATGTCTCTCACCCGTGTTCAAGGCTGAACTCGTGACTGCTTCTTCCAACTAGGCTTTTCTTCTCGTCTATTTTTACCCTGTTTATTCTCAGCATGAGAGCCCACTGTCCTACTCGCTTAAGCCAGAAATCTAGTCATACTTGACACCTTCTTCTTTCTACCTCTCATCCAATTCCTCACCAAGTCAGATAGATTCTGTTTGGAAATATATATTCCGAAGCCATCTCTGGCCCTCCATCACCACTACTACCCAGTCCAAGACATCATTCCGCTGCTGGGCTACAGCCATGCACCTGATCTCTCTCCATGGAAAACTGTGAACACACACAAAGGATGTGAGAGTTGTACAGTGCGTCCCCATGTATCCATCGCCCAGTTAAAATAACCATCAACCTAAGTCATTCCTGCTTCATCAATATTCACCCTCTGCTCCCCTGCCCCACTTCCAGGGGATTACTTTGAAGCAATTTATTTATTTAGAGACAGAGTCCTGCTGTGTCCCCCAGGCTGGAGTGCAGTGGCATGATCTCGGCTCACCACAACCTCTGCCTCCCTGGTTTAAGCAATACTCTTCAGCCCCCCAAGTAGCTGGGACTACAGGCGGCTAATTTTTGTATTTTTAGTAGAGACGGGGTTTTGCCACGTTGGCCAGGCTGGTCTTGAACTCCTGACCTCATGATCCACCCGCCTCGGCCTCCCAAAGTGTTGGGATTATCGCCATGAGCCACTGTGCCCGGTTGCCTGGTCTTGAAGCAGATTATTAACACACAAAGTTGATCGTATACTTCCCTGTTTAAATCTCTTCCTTGGTTCCCCATTGCTTTTAAGATAATGACCAAAACCATTATGGAGGCCCAGGGGCCCTGTGTGGTCTGGCCCTGCCAACCCCTCCAGCTTCGTTGCTCACCGCTTCACTGCTCGCCTCTGCCCTCCAGACCCAAAGGCTCTATTTAGCTTCCCCACACGTGCTGCAAACTTCTGGCCTTGGGGCCTTTGTACATGCCAACCCCTCTACAGTGATTCTCTCCACCCAGCATCCTCCTTCTCCATCTGGCTAGCATCCCTCGGAGATGAACTCCAATGCTGCGCTTCTTCAGAAATGTTTTCCTTGCCCTCCGTGGTTGAGTCAGGATCCCCTGATAGAGATCCCTCCTGGGATGGGGGTTCTTCTGACCACAGAGGGCCAGCGGCCATCTGCAGTTTATACACTTCCTGGCCTCTGCTTTTTTCCTTCAGACAATACTTGTTGTCTCTCTTGGGCTGTGACTTTCGTGCCCTTTGCAGAGGAGTCACTGAGGCCCAGAAAGGAAGAGCGGCTTACTAAAGACCCCTTAGCAGTGTGAAGCAGGTCCAGGCCTGCATCCTGTCTTCCGTCCCCAGCCCCAGGCTCTTTCAGGACCCCAAGACCCTTCACACTTGCCTGTGGTCCTGAGAAGAGCCTGATGGGTCCACAAAGCCAGATTGGTGCTGAGGTGGGTGTCCCAGGGTGGTTAGGATAGGCTATCTGGACAGTATCTACGGGGGGACAGAACTGACGTGTCCCCAGAGTAGCCACAGCCCCTGGCAGCCCTGAGTGGGGGCGTCTGAGCGGCTAAGCCTGTCTGCGCCTCCCCTACCACCCACTCAGCATGCCCAGCCGGAGGGCGGCCACCAAGAGCACAGGGGCGCTCTGTTCCTTAATGAATGCAAGTCTGTTTTTAGACCTGAATGACCAGCTTCTTGTCTGGAAATGGCCAAGCGTCAAGTGGCCTGCCAAGAAAAAGTGGTCTATGCGCAGACCCAGGGGTGCCAGCTCAAATAGATGCCGCTCCAGCAGTGGGTACGATGGGCCGAGGCCAGCAGCCAGCAGGGTACTCTGTTGGGCTGGCCCTGTGATCTGGCCTGGGCTTTGCAGGAAATCCTGGATGTGCCCCAGGAGGAAAGCTTCCCGTTTCAGCTGTTTGTCCCTGTCTGTCTCCGTGGCGACTGTTCTCACTCTACAGGCCTTTAAGCTCTGGGCAGGAGAGGGCAGCAACTGCTGTCCTCTAACCTCTGGTGGAGAGACGAGGAGAGAGAGAGGGACCCTGAGTGTGGCTGGGCCTGAGCTGTGGTTGTGCCTCTGGGCCCATGAGTGTGGGAGGCCGTCACTGGGTGTGGCCCAGGTATAGAGAGGGCCTTGCTGTGGCTGGCTCCTTGGGCTGTAGTCCCAGTGGAAAAATTCAGGCATGGAGGCCATGTATGGAGCTTTCTGGGTGCCTCGGAGGCCCAGTGGTGCCCCCATCTTCACTTGCTGTGGGTAGATGCCTCTCTAGGTATCCTTCAAGGACGTGATGGCAGTCAGTGGTGCTAGTGGGGGGTGTGCGCTGCTCAGTGGGCAGGGCTGTGAGTGTCCCCAGCTCCACCCCAGACTGAGTCATAGTAGCCCTGAAGATCTGCAGGTCAGAGAGGGGATTTTTTTTTCTTTTTGCCATTTTGTAGTGACACAAACTCAGAAGGAGTTCATGGGCATCCCAAGGGAGCAGACCCTCTCCACGCTCTCCTATACTGGAGGCCTGGCCCATGGCCCCCTGCTTCTCTCTACCTCCCGCCCCGTCTTCTCTCACTCTAGAGCCAGTCTCCAGGGACACCCAGAGGTTCTGCTCGAGGAGAGCTGCAGCTCGCACCTGCCCGGCTCTCTTGCCTGTCCACTCCTGGCTGCACACCTCCACACCTCCACATCTTGGATTTCCCAGTTAGGATTCCTCAGGAAGGGAATCTGATGAGCCAGCTCATCTTTCCACTCTAAAGAGGCTGCTGGTCAGCTTGCGATGGCTTTGCCTGGGTCTGGAGCACACCCTGCTTCCACCGGCTGTGGCCAGGGTCACTTGGTAGGTCTTAGGAGGACAGGCCTCTGGCCCTCAACATCCCCGCTTCATCTCAGAGCTGTTAGAGGCAGTGAAGGGAGAGCAAGCCCGTTCCTGGCCTGGGTGTTCTCAGAACTCTTCCTGGAGGATAGGATCGTGGCAAGGCTGAGTTCCTGCCCTTCTGGAGCCCTCTGCCAGGGTAGCTGAGTGGGACCCCAATTCACTAAGCCTCACCCCATGACAGTCAGTATGAGTGAGACTCAATTATGAGATTTTTCTTCCCTCCAGTCAGTGGAAAGGACAAAGCAGTTGTCCTAGATATAGAATGTCACCTGAGAAAATAAAAAGGGAGGTGGAGCTTCCATGAAAGTGCAAGACATTATTTTTGCAAAAGAAGGAAATTAACTTATGAGCCTGCCTCTCTCCATAGAATCCTAGTGTGCCATTCGGAATGGTCTTCTCACCCAGTTTCTGACTGTGAGGGGGCACTGTGGCCCTGAGAGAACATGGGGAGTCTCTCAGGAAGGATACAGCGTGGTTCAGAGCCAGCCTCTGTCACCTGGAAAAGCTTGTCTTCTGACTTCCGTGGTACAACCTAGGAAATGGGCTCCCAGGCCTCAAAAGATGAAGGAAATCTTATTGGCAGTGGGGTTCCCTGCCTTGCTAAGGACGCTTCTGAAACTCAAAAGGGCCAGGGTGAAGGCTCAGGAGCGTCAGGACCCCAGATCCAGGGCCCAGGCAGGTGGATTGGCCTTGGAGAGCAGCCACAGAGAAGGGAGGGGTGGGGGCAGGATTCTTCCTGTGGTTTTTTAGTTGGCTGGGGGTTTACAACCACCTGGGAGCCTTTAAAAGTTAAAGCCAGCCAGGTGTGGTGGCTTATGCCTATAATCCCAGGACTTTGGGAGACCAAGTTAGGCAGATCACTTGAGGTCAGGAGTTTGAGACCAGCCTGTCCAACATGGTGAAACCCCGTCTCTACTAAAAATACAGTAATTAGCCGGGCATGTTGACACATGCCTGTAGTCCCAGCTACTCAGGGGGCTGAGGCTTCAGTGAGCCGAGATTATGCCACTGCCCTCCAACCTGGGTGACAGAGGGAGACTGTGTCTCAAAAAGAAAAAAGAAAAGCTGAACACACACCTGTCTTGTGACCTAGCACTTCTGATCCTAAGTGTTTACCCATAGAAGTGAATACTTGCGTGCACAAGACTTGTACTAGAATGTTCATAGCAGTTTCATAAGAGGCAAAAACTGGAAACTGCCCAGATGTCCATCAATAGTAAAACAAATAAATTGTGGTCTATCCATATTTCAAACGCATTGCTGAATAAAAGCAGACACATACACGTGTATGTATGGTATGACTCCATTCATGTAAAGTCCCAAAAGAAGCAAAGCACTCTGTCGTGTTGGCTTCAGGCCAGGAGTTCCAGACTAGCCTGGGCAACATAGCAAGACCTTATCTCTATTAAAAAAAAGAAAAAGAAGGCCGGGCGCGGTGGCTCTCGCCTGTAATCCCAGCACTTTGGGAGGCCAAGGCGGGTGGATCACGAGGTCAAGAGATTGAGACCATCCTGATCAACAAGGTGAAACCCCATCTCTACTAAAAAAAAATACAAAAATTAGCTGGGCATGGTGGCGCGCACCTGTAGTCCCAGCTAATCGGGAGGCTGAGGCAGAAGAATTGCCTGAACCCAGGAGGTGGAGATTGCGATGGGCCGAGATCGCACCATTGCACTCCAGCCTGGGTAACAAGAGTGAAACTCCGTCTCAAAAAAAAAAATAAATAAATAAATAAAAGAAAATAGCTGGGCATGGTGGCATACCCCTGTAGTTTCAGCTACTTGGGAGGCTTTATGCAGGAGGCTCACTTGAGCCATAGGAAGTTGAGATGATTGCACCGCTGTGTTTCAGCCTAGGCAACAGAACAAGACCCCATCTCTTAAAAAAAAGCACTGCAGGTGATTCTAATGTGCACCCAGCAGGCTACACTTTAGAGTTAAAAGGAGAGCGTCCTTTCTCCCTGAAGTAGGAGGTCAGCTGCGTGAGAGGTGAGGTGGAGTAGGGAGACCTTGGTGGGGGGATCTGGAGCAGCCACTAGAGGGGAGAGCGGAGGTCCCCAGCCTATTGAGTCCCAGGACAGACGTCCACGAAGCTTCCTGTCCTTGGATGGCTATTTCCGTGGTTTCTGAGTTTGTACTGTCGGGACCTGCTGCCATGATGTGTTTTTGTTTGGAAGAGAAGAGTTTTGTTTTCAGGTCTCCGCTTGGAGCTTGCTGGGGCCGAGCGTCCTGGCTGGCTGCACAAGAGGGTGGAGCTGTCATTTGGCTTGGCCTTGAGAAGAGTTGGCAGGACCCACAGGGTCCACAAGAAGTCAACTTGGGAGAGTGCGGTCACCTCCACGGAGGAGGGGATGCCCAAGGGGGCCACCCCACCCCAGCTGAGGGGAAGGCCCTGCCTGTGACCACGCAGGCCTGGCTGTTTGTGCTTCGGCATCAGCCACAGGCTTGGCCACTGCCAGAGGCTTGGATGAGTACTGGAGGGAGGTTTGCCCTGTGGTTAGGAAGGGCTGGGCATGGGGAAGGGGGCTGGGAAGGTGGGGGAGTGTTGCCAGGGTATGGCCCACCCAGGGGCATGCAGCCCAGTGGTGGCAGGAGGGGCCCAGCCTGTGCTTTTACGCAAATACCCCATCCTGCCTGGGCCCTTTATTCTTTTCTTGCATCTCCTACCTCCCATCCGAGTTCCCCTTTGATCAGTCAACCACCGTGGGCTGAGTGCCTTGAGGAACCGGACCAGGCCTCCTGGAGGGAAGGCCCCTGCTGTGGGGGACCCTGTCAGCTCCTGTCCAGCCTCTGCCCTCCTTTCCTGCTGGGTGTGTCATTCTCTCTGCCCCCTCACTTTCACAGCCTTGCTTTTTCCTTTCTGTCTCCCTTTTGGGGTGTCACCTCTCTTTCCCTGTCTCCTTCCTTCATTCAGCAAACACTGGGTGCTGGCTGTATGCTGGGGATACAGAGATGTGCGGAACGCACCCCTGCTGGAGCTCAGAGTCTACTGGGGGGACACAGATGTGTAAACAGACAAGCAGAGTCTGGTGTGGTAAGTGCCGGGGCAGCAGCCTGCAAGAAGGGACAGTGGACCACAGAAGGGGGAGTGAGCCCCTGTGCTGGGGGAAACCAGGGAAGACTTCACAGAGGTGGTGACATTTCACCTGGGGCTTGAAAGATGACTGGGAACTCCCCAGGCAGATAAGCATGAGAAGGGTAAGCAGGTGAAGTGCACAGGGGTGAAGGACTGCTTCAGTGTGGAAGCGGAGGTGCTGGGCTGCACTGCAGCGTAGGGAATGTCGGGGATGAGGCTGGACAGTAGGAAGGTCTGGGGAGCCAGCTGAAGAAGTGACGGGAAATGAAGAAGGAGCGTCAGCAGGAGAGTGACGGGATCAGACCCGGGCCCCAGCTGGCCCTCTGGGCAGTGTGGACCCGCATGGCCGGAGGCAGGTTCGCTCAGGAAGCTGTTGCCAGCATCCGGGAAGAGGACTGTGATCTGGGTTTGCATCGTGTCGCAGGAATGAGAAAACAGATGGTTTCCTGGGTTATCTCGGAGGGACCTGAGGGCTTGATTGGCTTTGGGGGTTGGGAGAAGAAATGAGTGGAGTATTCTGGCCTGGGTAACTGTGGAGAGGCTGGAGCCTTTCACAGACATTGGATGCTCAGGAGGAAGTGGGTTTGGGGGCTGCTGCTGAGCTCACCTGCATGGATGCGTCTAGATGGCAGTGTGTGAAGCGCGGGAGGGCGTAGGTGTCAAGGTTACAGAGGTAGGCTTGGGAGCATCTACCTGGTGTGGGTATTTGGAGCCTGGGGAGGTGTGCAGAGTGCCTGGGTCAGTTGCACCATGAGGCACCTAGCCTCCTGCGTATCTGGGCTCCTCGCTCACCGCCCCCTCCTCTCCTGCCCTCTGTGTCTCCCCATTCTTGACATCTCCCTGTGCTAGGTGCCCTCCCTACCCTCTGGCAGCTCCTCAGACTGGGGGACCCCCTACCTGGCTCGTGGTGTGAAAAGCTCAGGGAGTATTTTTTGCTGCATGGGGCTGGAGAGCAGGCAGACACCTGCTGTGCCCTCTAGGGAGGGGCTTTCCTGCCTCCAGACCAGGCTCAGCTGGGGGAAGGAGCCTCATCTGAAGATTTCCAATCTTTTGTATCCCCTCTAATGTCAAAATACTGCTACTCCGCTGCTCCATACCTCTCATGACAGAAATTAAGAGTTTTTTGTGGCTTCCAGGACCCCTGAGGGGAACTCCACAGTGGGGGCGTGGGGATGGGACGGATGAGGAAGAGGGGTGGTTCACGACCCACAGGCACGAACATCTAGCGTGAGGAAAACTCAGAGGAGAACTGACAGCAGCTGCCTGCAGGGTTGGGCGCCAGGCTGGGCCTGTGCTCTTGAAGCCTCCTTGGCCCTCTGGGTCCAGGCCCAGCTGGTCACTGGGTGTCCCCTGCCTGACTGGTTCTGCTGGTGAGTGCTCAGTCACCACTCTGCCCCAGACTTCATGTGGCACTCACTGCCCCCACTTCATTTTCATTCATCAAAATAAACACTACAGGGGAGAAGACACCACTATTCAGTGGAAAGTGAACTGAAGATTGTTTTGGCAGTAGGCAGGGTTTCTGAGCCAATAGCATTATCAGCAGAGAGAGAGGAGGGACTGGGTCCAATGGGCAAATGTAAAGGAGTGGATTGCAACCATTCCCTTGGCCCCATGTAAAGGAGTTGTTTTGTTTTTGTTTTTTTTAAAGACAGTTTCCCTGGTCTCCCAGGCTGGATAGAAGTACAATCTGGCCCAGGTTCAAGTGATTCTCCTGCCTCAGACCCCTAAGTAGCTGGGATTATAAGCACTTACCACTATGCCCAGCTGATTTTTGTATTTTTAGTAGAGACGGGGTTTCACCATGTTGGCCGGGCTGGTCTTAAACTCCTGACCTCAAGTGATGCACTTGCCTCAGCCTCCCAAAGTGCTGGGATTACAGGCATGAGCCACCACACCTGGCCAGGAGTTGCCTTTTAATTTAAAGAGACTTGAAAGTCGATTGGGCTTGGATTAATATTCTTAATATTCTTCTTTAGAAAGAAAAAAATAAAAATAAATAATAAAAAAATTCTTAATAAAGAATTTACAGGGTGGGCATGGTGGCTCATGCCTGTAATCCCAGCACTTTGGGAGGCCAAGGCGGGTGAATTACCCGAGATCAGGAGTTCAAGACCAACCTGGCCAACATAGTGAAATCCCAACTCTACTAAAAAAAAATACAAAAATTAGCTGGATGTGGTGGCAGGCGCTGTAATCCCAGCTACTCGGGAGGCTGAGGGGCCACTGCACTCCAGCCTTCGCAAGAGAGTAAGACTCTTTCAAAAAAAAAAAAAAAAAAAAAGCTAGGCATGGTGGCTCACACCTGTAATCCCAGCACTTTGGGAAGCTGAGGTGGGAGGATTGCTTGAGCTCAGGAGTTTAGGACCAGTCTGGGCAACACAGTGAGATACCATGCTCCCACCCCCCACTACAAAAAAATTAAAAACTTAGCCAGGCATGGTGGTGCATGCCTGTAGTCCTAGCTACCTGGGAGTCTGAGATGGGAAGATCATTTGAGCTCGGGAGGTTGAGGCTGCAGTGAGCCGAGATCGCACCACTGTACTCTAGCCTGGGTGACAAAGTAAAACCCTGTTTCAAAAAAAAAAAAAAAAAATTGTGTATAAGACAATTCTTATAGACAGTTCGCAGATGAAATTCCAGTGGTTAATAATTGGAAAAAAAGTGTTCAACCTACCACTAAGCAGAAATACAAATGAAAACATTTTTACCTATTGGATTTGCAAAGGTGAGCAAGAGACAATATCTGGAGAAGGGCCTGAATGTGGGGAAATAGGTACCCTCATGTCGTGCTGACAGCTGGGTTAACTGGAATAGCATCTGTTTATTCTCAGTCCACTAATTTTACTTCTGAGAATCTATCTCAGAAATGGAAAGTGAGTGACATGGGAAATTCCTCATGAAATCGGGTTAAGCACGCAAATTATAGGTTATATAACCATTTACACAGGTTATGTTTATGCATACATTTTTTCTTTGGGTGATTCTTGGGGAATCTTACAGGTGACTTTGATCTTATATATATCTTTACATATTTTCTGTCATGAGGTTTAAAAATCAAGGTGGGGGCCGGGCGCGGTGGCTCAGTCCTGTAATCCCAGCACTTTGGGAGGCCGAGGCGGGTGGATCACGAGGTCAAGAGATCGAGACCATCCCGGTCAACATGGTGAAACCCCGTCTCTACTAAAAATACAAAAAATTAGCTGGGGATGGTGATGCGTGCCTGTAATCCCAGCTACTCAGGAGGCTGAGGCAGGAGAATTGCCTGAGCCCAGGAGGCGGAGGTTGGGTTGCGGTGAGCTGAGATCGCGCCATTGCACTCCAGCCTGGGTAACAAGACCAAAACTCCGTCTCAAAAAAAAAAAAAAAAGCCGGGCGCGGTGGCTCAAGCCTGTAATCCCAGCACTTTGGGAGGCCGAGGCGGGTGGATCACGAGGTCAAGAGATCGAGACCAGCCTGGTCAACATGGTGAAACCCCGTCTCTACTAAAAATACAAAAAATTAGCTGGGCATGGTGGCGTGTGCCTGTAATCCCAGCTACTCAGGAGGCTGAGGCAGGAGAATTGCCTGAACCCAGGAGGCGGAGGTTGCGGTGAGCCGAGATCGTGCCATTGCACTCCAGCCTGGGTTAACAAGAGCGAAACTCCGTCTCAAAAAAAAAAAAAAAAAAAGAAAGAAAAAATCAAGGGGGAAAAAACCTCTGTGCAGTGTGACATGATGAAACCAAATAAATCCAGAAATCAACTTTGAGAGTCAAAGGGTCAAATGTCTAGCAGTCTGTCACTTCACAAGACTGTGGTCGGTACATGTTGATATATGTGGCAAAATCCTCTAAGATTGAGGACAGAGGTAAGCAGGCCACATGGCCATGGCTGGGCTGATTTCGTGGGTGAGGTCACCTGGCTCTTCACTGTGTAATACTTGAGACGGGCTGTCCCCTGTCAGGACTGAGTTTCCTAATCTGTATAATGCTATGGGGGCAGGTGTGACTAAATAAATCTCTGAGGGTCCTGGCAGATCTTGGGTAGAGGTGATAGCCCTGTTCTTGAAGAGAACTTTGACTCGCCTCAATTGTGGAGCAGAGTGTGGCTGAGCATTAAGGTTTGTAGGTTTCAGGCTCCAGCTCCTAATCTGCTGTGGGACCACAACACTTGACATTGTTACCTGTTCCTGACCACCACTTTGGCCCAGCATCGCCCTGCTTCTTCGGCCACCGTCTCTTTCTTAGTCAGCTCCTGGGCCGACGCGGTTGGGGCTGGATTGACGACTCAGGCTTTACTGATTTGAAGCCTGGAGGAGCAGGAACAGGGTAATGATTCTTTGGAGTGTTTAGTGGAGGCAGGAACTCAAAGGCCATTGGGGAGCCCCACCTGCCCAGGGAGACAGGATCTGTTCCCTCCCAGGCCCTCTCTCAGGGACATTTTTGAGATGGTTTGTTTGGCTCTTATCACTGAGCTGTCCGACTGCCTGAAGTGACTAAGCCCACTTCCTGCTATAAGACGGCTCCTCCCCTCCTGGCCACACATCTGTAGGCTGACACGCGTCCACCTCCCACACCTTCAGCGCATCAGCTCCAGAGCTTCGATAAGGCCTCCTGTGCTCAGCCTCCTTTCCTGGAACTGGACAGTTTTCAGCCATGCTGCCCGGGTACTCTGGAAACTTGTTTTCGGCATGAGCAACTCTCAGCGTCCTCCCTTGCAGTGTGCCTCCTGAAGGGTAGAGCTAGAGGCCTCACTCGGCCTGGCCTGCGAGCTGCCTGGCACTGGAGATGAGGTAGACAGGTTGATTTTCCTACCAGCCTAGGCATAAGCAGAACTTCTGGCTTTCGGGAAAGACACCGTGTGAGACCCCCCACTCCACTCCGTCAGCTGTCCCAGACTCTGCCTGCACTGCTGCCTCTGAACTGTGAGGTCTTCAATATCACCCTGAATATAAGGGCCAGTCTTGGGTGGGTGACAGAGGCAGCGGTCCTGGGCATGGTGGGGCTGCTGGGAAAGGTGTCCTCATGATGTGGGCCGGTTTTTCCCTAGCAACCAACAAATGCACGGGAAGACTTCTCGGAACAGTCCTGTGTCCTGCAAAGAGAAACCAGACAGAGTTCAGGAGCCCCTGGACTGCAGGTGAGGACCCTTTTCCCTGTCAGGGATACATACAGACCAGGGGGTGGGAAGCCCTCAGGATGTGACCTGTTTGTAAGAGGACCTCAAGGCTGAGCTGGGGCCTCTGTGCAGGTCTGTGAAGTCAGGCACAGGCTGCCCTGGGCTGCTTCCTCCCGCCCTTCAAGCCTGTCCCAGTGCACTGGGACCTAGCAGAGTCCATGCTTCTCGGGTTTCCAGCCTTGTCCCTGCTCACCTGTGCCTGGGCCAATCCGGCCAGGGCAAAGGTTTACCTTTTTTTCTCAGTGCCATCCCCTCTCCCAGTGTGGTAGCCTCAGTCAGGTCAGGTGAGTCCGTGCCAACCTCCAAGCAGCAGAGCTCAGGCCACAGGGAGGAGGCGGCAGAGAGGGCAGTCCTGCTGGGATCATGGCCCATGGCCAGGCCCCGGAGCTGTGAGTCTGACACCTTTACCTCATCTGCACCCCAAATGAGTCCCCATTCCCATACTGCCTGCTCCCCGGCTTACCCTTTAGCCACAGAAATCGGACAGGGTCTTTGACGCCGAGGGGGGCAACTCCTCAGCGTCTCTGGGAGACTGGGCACACCTCCTGGGGATGCTTCTCACCCACATCAGGGAAGTTGGGCTCTCGGGAACCCCTCCCTGCCTCCGGTGGTGCCCTTCCCCGGGGATGAGCTGTGTAGCTATGTGCTCGCTGTACTTGTCATTTCACTGTGTCCCCTAGAGAAGGGTCCTAGTCTCCGATCTCTGCCCCAAGCTTCTGGCTCAAGGCCAGGGCAGAATTGGCACTGAGGAGGCATGGGCAGGACTGGGGTTCCTTGTCCCCGAAATGGAATGTCTCCTTTGCAGTCTGCACTGCCCAGAAGGCTTGAAGGGTGAAGAGCTAAAGAAGTGTGGCCGAGAAGGGGTAAGTATGGAGGCTGACTTCTCACTGTTCACCCAGGAAAGGGTCCAGGGCTGTCAGAATTCACGACTTTGGGCTCCTTGGCCACCAGGCCTGTCATTAGGAAATCCGGAGACCTGAGTGGGTATCCCTTCCTGGGTGGGAGTAGTGTGTCCCCCCTCTACTAGTACGAGCTGCCTGTCAGGACCAGGCAGCCCTAGGAGATGAGCTTGCTTGACACTCAGCCCTCTGCACTCACTGGCTGCTTACTAGCTGCTTCATGCTAAGTCCCTAGCATGGGTCGGGAGGCTGTGGCATTATTTCCTGTTGGCCAGAGCAGGGCCGCTTGGTGGTCTGATTGCCTAGGACTTCTCAGATACAGCCTTGTGTGTTTGCAGATATCACTTAATAAATACAACCAGCAATACCACAGGCTGTTTAAGGATGTTCCCTTGGAGGAAGTGGTTCTCAAAGGTAAGCTGTCTTCCCTGGTATAGCTGGTTAGGCACCCTGAGTGCCTGGGGCAAGAGTCCTCTGCTCTGGAGCCTCCAAGGTATGATTTGGAAATGGGAGCTGGCTGTCCTTTAGATATGGACCACTCCCCCAGAAGTGTGAGAAGACTGGGCTGGTTTGGGACATAGCATTGCATTTTTGAAGGTTTGCTTGAGGAAACATCAGGGCTTTGGAATCTGGTGTCTGTTCTGATCTTACCAGTGACTTATTCCCTGCTCAGGCCTCTCACTGAGCCTGTAGGGGCATTTGCGCAATCAAGGCCCTCGGGCAGGACAGGGCAGAACAGAGCAGGGAAAGGCCAGGGCTTCTGCCTGAGGTTATGAGAATACAGGCTCAGAGCAGGGCAGGAGCCTTACCTGGACCCTCTGGCGCATGGGTGAAGGAAGAAACATCCCGCAGGCTGGTGGGGTGGAGGGGCGGTCGGGAGAAGGACCCTTTGATGCTGGGGAATGGACTGTTTAGGGTTTGGGCCCTGGAATGTGGCGTCTGAGGAGATGGCTCCTGAGGCTAAACTCTGGACTCCTGAGTGTGAGGACCTAGGCCCTGGGGCTTCCCGGGCTGACCTTGCTTATGGCCATCTTCTCTCCTGTGACATCACAGTGTGCTCCTGTGCCCTCCAGAGGGACCTCCTTCTTCAGGGCCGACTCTACATCTCCCCCAACTGGCTCTGCTTTCACGCCAGCCTCTTTGGCAAGGATATCAAGGTAGTAATGAGTGGTAAGGGCTGCCATGACCTGTGAGGGGACAGCCAGCCTCCTGCCCTACGGCTGTGCCTCAGGTCATGACTGTCCCTCTGCATGCTGGTTGCTTGGTGAAACCCTTTGCTGGTTGGATGAGCAGCTTCGAGGCATCCCATCAGTGTCTAGTAAAGTAGTCCTATCCCTTCTAAAACAGGGGCCCCAATCTGGACCCCACATCTGGCCTGAACTGTTCACAGCCAAATCATTCTGCTTCTGGATATCTCAGAAATGCTTTGAGAATCAGAGCGGGATGCCACATTTAGGGGGAGCCATAGTTGTGGCCAAGTAGTAGCCTAGGGAGCTCCATTACGAGTCTGAGATTGACCAGAGCCACCATAGTTGGCCTCCTGGATAACAGAGATCATACCTATGTGACAGTCCAGAGTGACACATACTGCCAAGGCTGGGGCCGGGTGGCAGGGACAACTGGAAGGGCAGCCTGGCTGAGAAGGTAGAAGGTTCAGATACTTCCCCACATGGGGCCAGGCTTCGCCTTGGTGGCCATGCTGGGCTCATAGCTGGGTTCCTATTCAGGGAGCAAAGGGACCATGTCCTTGGGGTGAGTCCTGTGAGAAGCATCCCTCTCCTTATCAGGTGGTCATTCCTGTGGTGTCTGTGCAAATGATCAAAAAACACAAGCTGGCACGGCTCCTTCCCAACGGCCTGGCCATCACCACCAACACCAGCCAGAAGGTGAGTCTCCACTCCCAGCCCCGGCAGCCCACAGTCTGACTCGGGCACATTCCCAGGTCTTTATTTCACCCAACCCTGCAGCTCCAGTGCATATTTCAGGCCCTACAACAAGCTGGAAGGGAAGTTCCTAGGCAGAGCTCCTGCCGGCTCTCACGGCCTGATACCCCTGTGGGCCTGCGTCCAATCCATGAGGGGGCCTGCTGGCACAGCGAGGGGTCGCATCTCACCCCGCCCCTGTCTGTTTTCTTTCCATGTCCCAGTATATCTTTGTGTCACTGCTGTCCCGGGACAGTGTATATGAGCTGCTGAGGAGAGTCTGCACCCACCTGCAGGTATGGAACTTGGGAGCAGGAGGGCCAGGGAGGCTGCTCAGGCCTGGATGCAGGTCTTGGGACAAGGGTGCTGGGGGAAGTCCCTCATGTCTCCACCACAGGGAATGGGGCAGGGAGAGGGGAGTTAAAGGCTCAGGCTCAACATACTAGAGACAGCACTCGGACTGTGTGTCTATGCCTGCAAGCGTATCTTGGAGGCCAGTGGGCCCCATGTATCCCTGTATACAGACGCCCTTTGTCTGTGGTTTACGTACCACGAACCCACCAAAAGCTGAAAATATCCTAAGTCAAAAATGCATTTAATAGAGGTACATATCACCTACAGAACATTGTTGCTTAGCCCCACCATGCTCAGAATGCTTTCATTAGCCTAGAGCTGGGCAAAATCATCTCAGACAAAGCCTGTTTTAAAATAAAGTGTGAAACACCTCATGTAACGTATTGAATCCTGTACTGAATGTGAAAAACAGAATGGTTGTATGATCCCAGCATTTTGGAAGGCCGAGGTGGGTGGATCACCTGAGGTCAGGAGTTTGAGACCAGCCTGGCCAACACAGTGAAACCCTGTCTTTACTAAAAATACAAAAATTAGCCAGATGTTGTGGCAGGTGCCTGTAATCCCGGCTAATTGGGAGGCTGAGGCAAGAGAATTGCTTGAACCCAGGAGGTGGGGGTTGCAGTGACCCAAGATTGCACCACTGCACTCCAGCCTGGGTGACAACAGCAAGACCATCACAAAAAAAACAAAAAACAACGTATTTGAAATAGTTTCTACAGAAAGCGTATCACTTTTGTACTATTGTAAAGTTGAAAAATCATTAAGTTGAACCATCGTAGGTCAGGGACCATCTATGTGTCCAGGCCTTCATTTGTGCTTCCTTAATGCATGGACAAGAGCGTGTAGCTGCTTCCCAACATGCCCTACGGCTCTCTCTGGCCTATGGTGAGGAAGAGGGGAATGGTGGGTTAGCACTGGGGAGACCAAGTTGCTTGGAGTTTGCCCCTCTGCTCTAGCATTAGATAGGGGGTCCCCTACAGACTCTGGGAGCTGGACTTCATGCGGCACAAAGTGGCTTATTTGGAGGTAAAGCTGTCTTAGAGAGGGCAGATGCTTCCCTGTGCCTGACCTTGCCTGTTCCAGATGGACAAGTGACTGCTGTTCCCTTTCTTCCTCAGCCTTCCAGCAAGAAGAGTCTAAGCGTAAGAGAATTTCCAGAGGAACCCGAGTCTCTGGTGAGAGCTGAAGCTGGGACCAAAGACTGCTGGCCTGACAGTGCCTGGAGCTCTGAGGTTTCTTGGCCTCCCAGGAGGGGCCCACAATGCAGAACTGGGGTACCAGGCTCAAGAGCCAGTGTCCATGCTGGGCCAGGGCATTTCCTAAACCTGTCACACTATAAGCAGAGCCACCAGGGCCTCAGCAGATAGGTTTTCTTTTTTTGGTTTTTGAGACAGAGTCTTGCTCTGTTGCCTATGCTGCAGTACAGTGCCACCATCTCAGGTCACGGCAACCTCTACCTCTTGGGTTCAAGTGATTCTCCTGCCTCAGCCTCCCACGTAGCTGGGACTACAAGCACTTGCCATCACACCCAGCTAATTTTTATACTTTTAGTAGAGACGGGGTTTTACCATGTTGGCCAGGCTGTCTTGAACTCCTGGCCTCAATTGATCCACTAGCCTCTGCCTCCCAAAGTGCTGAGATTACAGGTATGAGCCACTGTGCCCAGCCAACAGGCTGACTTTCTGAGTAAAACAGAAGTCCAAGTCCCGAAACACTGGCCAGGTGGGGTTGCACACCTGTACGGATGCAGGGCCAGTATCCCATCCTCTTTCCTTTGGCTGAGTCAAGAGGGCCTTCAAGGGGGTAAAGATGTCCCTGGGATCCGAGTGTGCTGGCTCATGCCTGTAATCCGAGCACTTTGGGAGGCCAAAGCAGGAGGATGGCTTGAGCCCAGGAGTTCAAGACCAGCCTGGGCAACACAGTGAGATCCTGTCCCAATAAAAATGCAAAAATTGGCAGGTGTGGTGGCATGTACTTGTAGTCCCAGGCTACCCAGGAGGCTGAGATGGGAGGATCACTTGAGCCTGGGAGGTTGAGGCTGCAGTGAGCCAAGGTCACAACACTGTATTCCAGCCTGGGCAACAGAGGGAGACCTGTCAAATAAAAGATGTCCCTAGGAAAGAACTCCAAATACTATCCCTCTAGAACCCAGACAGACTTATTTTAGATTTGCCAAGGTTCCAGAAGTGTCCTGCGGCAGCTGGGGCCCTGGGTAGGCAGAGCTGAGTTTCTAGGGCAGGGATGGGGTAGAAATGACCCTAGGGTGTTGGGAGGCTCCTTCAGTAACTATAGTGTTTAGCCAAGCATGTGATATGCATGCTACCATCTGCCGGATAGAAGGTGATGTTCCCATTTTTGTGGATGGGCACCCTAAGTTCTCCTGCTGAGATTAGGGCTTGGAATGGGAGGAGCCAGAACTTACCCTACCTAAGACATGTTGCACCGAGCTTTCTTGGCCTCAGATCTGAGCATGTACCTGGGATGGATCACATCTAAGATCCCACTGTAGTTCTATACTAGCAGTGGTCGAAGACATCGTTTCCTGGCAGAACAGCTAGTCACAGCAAGGGAGCAGAGAGAAGAGGCAAATGATTGCTATGGCAACTGCCCTCCCCCCTTGCACCTGCTTCCATCCCTGGCTAGGCATCTGTATTTGGTAGTATCTGGAAAAAGCTCTGATAAACCTGGTGTGGGCTTCTTAGGGCAAGTGAGATTTCAAGGGCCAGGGTAAGACAGCTTCTCCTGTCTTTCTGCAGGAAGTCCTCATCCCTGAGATGAAGTGGAGAAAGGTATGCCCTTCCTCCAGGTCCCTGTCTCTCCCGGACAACATGCCTCATACTCCTCCAGCACCTGTGGACTCCACAGACAGTTTTTTCCCCTCCAGGATGCCTCCAGGGCCTGGTAAGTTCAGAGGGCTTGCCCTTGGCAACTACTTACAAAGGCCAGCTTTTGTCTTCCCAGTTCCGTAAAAAGGGCTCACCACAGCCAGCAGGGCTTCTGAGAGCTGATTTTTTTCTTTCTCCAAATCAATATAGAAAAGTCAAGAGCCCAAGTAGCCTCTGAAAATGGCAGGAGGTGGGCATGGCCCATGCCAGGCTGGGGTCCTGCCTGCCCTAAGAAGATGCCGAACTGCTCTCCCATTGCAGAGAATGCTGTCTGTGAGGATGATGAGCTGGAGGAGGAGACTAGGAGCACTGGGGAGCTGAGGCTCTGGGATTACCGGCTCCTGAAGGTCTTCTTTGTGCTGTAGGTGACAACACTGGGGAGGGGGACAGACCCACCCATGTGTCTAGGTGTTGGGAACAAGGGCCTTGGAGTGTGGGGAGTTCACTGTTCAGAACCAGGGGAAGGTTCTGAGTCAAATTCAAGCTCTTGGGTAGTATCTGTAGGCCATGTGGCACGCCCTTCTGTAGCAAGAGAAAGGATCTCCAGTTTATATTATTGAAACCCTATAATTTAGGGTTAAGACTGGTGGAGAGGGGCAGGATATGGAGATGTTGAGAAGAGGAAAAGCTGCATAGGATTTGGGAGAAGGAGGGCCAGCAAAATTGGAGAGAGAGGGGAAAGGCATGGCCTCTCCCCAGCCCACCACTAGGGCAGCTTCTGGAACCTCTGTCTTGGCTGCACCTCTAAGGACCAGTAGAGTAGTGAGCATGGTGGGAACTGACATGGACAGCCAGCCCCTGCTTTCCCTCACCTTAGCTCATCAGCCTCCTCTGGTCCCTTGGCTAGGTTTTTACCATCAACACTGGCACCTGCTGGGGGAGTGGGCCCACTGTCTAGGGCATCATCATCATGGCCTCCCTGTGGAGGCACAGAAAGGACTGGTGAGAGGAAGGGTAGGTGGCTGCTCTGGCTGGCTGGCCAGAGCGCCCTCCAGGGCTCAGCTTAAGGGCCCAGAGCTCCAACTGGGCTGTGAGGTCACCTTCATGGGGACGAGTCTCAAGTCCCCATGTGGGCCCTGGGAAGAAAGATGCTGAGGCCTTAGCTGGCCACAGGACAAAGGTTCTTTAATTGTTCCAACTGCAGCTCTTTCTGCGGAGGGAATACTGACCTCTGTATTGCTCCTTTCCCCAGGATCTGCATCCTGGCTGTGTCCTCATCTTACCTGGCGTTCCGTATTTCACAGCTAGAGCAGCAGTTATGCTCCTTGAGTTGGAACAGCCCCGTCCCTGGGCACAGGTGAGGCCTTTTCTCTTCCTAATGCCTTTGGGGAGACTGAGGGATGAGGACAGGGGCCAAGAACCTCAGACCGGGCTGCCTGGCTGGACTTGGTCCTGTTTTGAGCTGGCCTCTGACCCTAAGCGAGGTTGAGCAGCGTGCAGGGTACACAGGTCCCATGCTGGCCCACTCTTGGGGGAAAGAAAGTTGTCACTGGCCCTTCTGCCCATGTCCATCTGCCTTGTGGGCCCTTTCCTTGATCTGGGCATCTTTCTTGTGCGCAGGTAACAGCCACTCGGCCTTTGTCCCCATTCCTTCTCCAAGAAGAAAGAATGTGCTGGGTGCTAAGTCTCTACCAATGATCCCTGTGGTTTATGCTGCTGCCGTGCTAAGACTGCGTATGAAGGAAAACGTTCCAGATCCCCCTTCCTCCTCCCAGCTCTTCTCCTCCCTCTGAGATCTGAAGTACCTGTTTACAAAGTAACTGGCTTCTTTGATTTTTGGACTCAAACAAAAAGCCAGATTTTTTGGAACCAGCTGAGGAATTCTGTACACAAAGCTTCAGCAACCACTTAAAATGAGAGAGAAAAAAAAAAATTAGCTGGCTCCTTGGAAACAGTTCTGGCACACAGGCAAAACACTGGAGGCAACCTCAAGGGACAGAGGCCAGAGGCCGTGCTTTCATACATGGAATGTGGCTCTGTCACACAGCTCACTCCTGTGGCGGGGTCAGAGGCCAGAACACAAACCACCTGTGTGGGCTGTGGTGTCCCCCAACACTCTGCGCTCCCACGGGGCTTCTCTGCAGGCAGCCAGGCATCTGTCAGGCTTGGGCAGGGGCCTGCTGAGAAGCCGTGGATGAAGAGGGGAGGGCCAGAGATGCTTCCAGCCAGAGATGAATTTCCATGCTCTAGGCCAGGGCTCTGTGCTGGCCCCTCATGAGGTGGCTGGCTGCACGACGGGGAGATGCTGCCCGTGGCAGGAATGGTGGCAGGGGCTGTGAAGAACAGAGGTACCTGACTTCCATGTCCTCAGCTGTCACTTTCTGGTGACACAGATCACTGTAGTCACAGACCTGGTAGTGGTTCTTGCTCTTATGTGTTCCCAGGCCCTGGAAATAGGGAATGGGGAGGGTGGAGGCTTGGATCTGAGGTCTTGCTGTCTACTCCCTGCCTGCTCGGATCTCAGGTTGGTGTTGGGGAAGAGGTCACTTGTGTCACCCCTGTAGTCACTGGGTTGCAGGCCATGGAGGAGGGTCCTCCACTCCATGGGGCCTAGTCTCCATTAAGGTAGAAGTATCCACTGTGGGCCTGGTACAGTGCAGGAGCCAGGCCAGGGGGTCTGTCTTATACCTCCGGGGACAGGAAAGGTACGGGATGAGGAGGTTGGATGCGGTGGTGGTTCTGCCTTGGGGAGTCTTCCTCCTCTTTCAGGGCCTTCTCTATTCTAAAAAGTTTCTCTGTGCCCTACAACTCTGGCCTGATCTCCCTGGGACTCCCATCTGCTAAGATAGTGGCTTTGGGGGTTCTGAAAGAGTCTTAAAAGGCCAGAAGTATCAGGGAAAGTTGCCGGTGATGGGGTGGTTGGTGTCAGAAACAGCCACTGTTTTCCCCTCTTCAGACACTGAGAGGTTAATCAGGGAACAAAATCCAGGTGGAAACTATTTATTGTGGAGCAGACGATTGTCCCGTTGATGACAAACCCAAATGAGGATTGGAGGGACTCCCAGTAAGTAGTCTCTTCATGCTCTCCCCCTCCCAGTTTTTAGGATGAAACTTAAGAGCCTGGCCTTTTGTGTTGCTTGCACCAAATCCGTATGTCTCAGGGGAAACTCACTGTTCCACGAACGGCCATCCTTTTTATTTGGAACCAGCCCTTTTCACCCGTTCATCAGTCTTTAGTGAAATAACCTTTCTTGCCTCAGTACTTCTCTCTGGTTCTTGCTGAAAGGCAGGGAGAACAAATCCATTCTCTGAGCCTTGCTGGGTTGTCAGAGGCCTGAGAGGTGCCAATTATAGGTGGATGTGCCACGATGCAGGTGAACTTGGTCTCCAGCTATACCCAGGCTCAGAAAGGGCAAGGGCCATGCTGCAGGGTAGGTGACTTTGGAGGTGCACTTGGGGCCCAGAGCTTTGAGTGGTGTGGGCGTGCCTGTCCCTCCAGATGGCCCTCTCGGGCTGCCGTGCCTTCTGCTGTGCACATTTACAAACGATGTGTATACAGACCTGCTTGCATTGGCTGATGCTCCTTTAATTCCCTGAATTTGGTTCAGCCACTCTTGGGTTATTTTTGCTATGGCCTTAGCCTTTAAAAATATTTTAAAATAAACTTGATTTTTCTAGTGTATTATGGTATGGAAAGTTCATGTTCATCCTCTGACTGCTCACGACAGGTACTCTGACTGACACACTCAGCCCCCAGGAGACTGATGGAACCCAAGCCATTCCCATAATCCCAAGTACTCTGCAAATCTCAAAGGACTTTAGCCGAGCTGACTTGTACCTCAGGCGTATGGGGAAGAGTGAGGGTGGCCACAGCAAACCCCCCGAGCCTTCTGCCTCGGTTGGGTGGACACCAAGAATACTTACCCATTTCCTCTGAGCAACTCCAGAGCAATGTCCCTGGCGCAAACAGGACTATGCTTCTGATCCAGGAATTAATATGTGGAGTTCAGAGCCAGAAAGCTTGGGTGGCCTTTTCTATGACCCAGAGCCTAGGTAAAGAGGTAAAATTCCAGTTTGGGCCACATCACCTTTCTTCTTTTTCCCTGCGATGCCCCCTCTAGTAGTGATTTGTTCATTCAGTAAATACTGAGCCAAGACTATATGCCAGGTGCTAAGCTGGGCACTGGCGATATGGCCATGAACATGGCAGGCATGTCTGCATCCTAGGGAACTTAACTGACACTCCATGTGCAGGTAGATTCCAAGTAAATATGGAAACAAAGAAGATAAAAGCAGATAGTGATTTTTCAAGAAGAAACAGGGACATGATGAAGTGAGATATAAACAGTGGTAAACGAGATGGCTTTAGATGATATGGTCAAGAAAGTTCTCCAAAGTGACAAGCGGGTGCTTGAAGGATGAGAAGTCAGTCATGAGAGGAGCTGGGAACAGCACATTCCTGGAAGGGGGTCAGCAACTGCAAAAGGTAGGAAAGGGCATGTTTGTCTCTGAGGAGGAGAGAGGCTATCTGCATGTTAGTATCCTAGGATACTAAGTGAGAGAGTAACATGAAAAGAGGTTACGGAGTTCGGTACAACAACAAAACCTGACTGAAAAATGGGCAAAAGGCTGGGCCTAGTGGCTCATGCCTATAATTCCAACACTTCGGGAGGTTGAGGCAGGTGGATCTCTTTGCGCCCAGAAGTTCAAGACCAGCTTGGCCAACATGGTGAAACAGAAACTCTACTTAAAAAAACAAATTAGCCAGGCACGGTGGTGTACATCTACAGTCCCAGCTACTCAGGAGGTTGAGGTGGGAGGATAGCTTCAACCCAGGAGGCAGAGGTTGCAGTGAGCAAAGATCACACCACTGCCCTCCAGCCTGGGTAACAGAGCAAGAATGTCTTAAAAAAAAAAAAGACCAGGAACAGTGGCTCATGCCTGTAATCCCAGCACTTTGGGAGGCCAAAAGCGCGGGCAGATCACAAGGTCAGGAGTTTGAGACCAGCCTAACATAGTGAAACCCTGTCTCTCCTAAAAATATAAAACTTAGCTGGGCATTGTGGTGGGTGCCTGTAATCCCAGCTACTTGGGAGGTTGAGGCAGGAGAATGGCTTGAACTGGGGAGGCAGAGGTTGCGGTGAGCCGAGATCACACCACTGCACTCCAGCCTGGGCAACAGAGACTCCATCTCAAAAAAAAAAAAAAAAAAAAAAAAAAAAAAAAGGATTTGAATAGATATTTCCCTAAAGATACACAGATGGCCAATAACCAATGAAAAGAGCTTCAACATCACTAATCGTTAGGGAAACGCCAGTCAAAACCACACCACTTTCCACTCATTAGAATGGCTACTCTCAAAGAACAGAAAAGAAACAGAAACAAGTGTTGGTGAAGATATGGGAAATTAGTAACTCTGGGAATGATGTGAGCTGTGTTGGTGAAGATGTGAAGAATTGTGAAGTGGTGAAAAACAAGACAGCAGCTACTCAAAATATTAAAAACAGAATTACCATATGATCCAGCAATTCCACTTCTGAATATATAGCCAAAAGGACTGAGAGAATAATCTTGAAATTTTTCTTTCTTTTTTAAAGACAGGGTCTCACTCTGTCACCCAGACTGAAGTACAGTGGTCTGATCACAGCTCACTGCAGCCTTGACCTCCGGGGCCTAACTTGAAGAAATACTTGAACACACACATTCATAGCAGCATTATACACAATAACCAAAAAGTAGCAACTCAAGTGTCCATCCATGGATGAATAAACATATACGTATGTTTATATATTCTATATATGTACATACAATGAAATATATATATATTCATCCATCCATGGATACATAAATATGTATACAATGAAATATTATTCAGCCTTGAGAAGGAAAAAACATCTGACACATGCTGTAACATTGATGAACCTTGTGGACATTAAGCTAAGTGAAATAGGCCAGTCCAAAAAAAAAAAAAAAAAATTCTGAATCCAGGCTTGTAAAGAGAAAAACAAAAATAAAAACAAAACCCCCACAAAATACTGGGCAGGGTGCAGTGGCCCATGCCTGTAATTCCAGCTACGCAGGAGGGAGGATCACTTGAGGCCAGGAGTTTGAGACTGGCCTGGGCAACACAGCTACCCCATCTCTTAAAAAACAAAGACAAATAATGTATGATTCTGCTTATAGGTGGTATGTGGAGCAGTCAAATTCATAGAGACAGAAAGCAGAAAGGGGGATGCCAGGGGCCAAGGGAAGGAGAAAATGGACAATTACTGTTTAATGGGTATAGAGTTGCAGTTTTGCAAGATGAAGATTTCTGGAGATTGGTTGCACAATAGTGTAATGTACTTAACACTACAGAACTGTACACTAAATATGGGTAAGATGGTAAATTTTATGTCATTTTACCATAATTTTTTAAAGTTAAAAGAGGTTGGTGGGGTAGGCAGAAGAGTTTTGATTTTATGAATTCCCTGGGTATTAGAGCTCAGATTGGAAAGTTTGGCAGGGCAGATCAGTGGTTGTTGAAACCAAATGCTTTCTTTTCCTAGAGGAAATAAACACCTGGATATAATACACAGAAAAATACAGCTAATAATCCATAGGCTTTTCAGGGGCATAGAGAAACCAATCCAGTAAAATTCTTTAAAGTGCGTCCACTCCTCACTATTCCCAGTAACTGATTCGTAGCAGCAGCATCACAGAGAAGGCAAATAATCATATATTTATCATGGCAATGAGCTAACTTTATCAGGGAGAAATAACTATCTTAAATTTGGGGAAACAAGGGAAATATACATTATGCCAGAGCCTCAGTTTTGCAACATGGGCCTTAGCAGAAAGGAAGGGTCATGGTAGGGGCAGGATTGTTAGTGGAAAAGGCATTCAGAAATGAGGGGGACTCAGGGACAACTTCATACACTGAGAAGTCCTGGGAATAAGAAACTATCCCCACTCCCACTCCCGGGTGCCCAGCCAGCCAGCCATGGCCCCTCAACATGACTGCCAGACTGGGTGAGGCCTGGAAGCCCATGGTGCTCTTCTCTCCGAGCTGCTGGGCCACAAAACCAGGGAGTCCTAGAGCAAAGAAAGTTCTCAGAGAAGGATCTCTATCTAGGTTGCCTCAGGACTAGACAGAAAAAGGCCAGATCCTCAAACTCAATCCAAGGCTGGTTGTCTCTCTCTGAGAAGGAAAAAATGACAGCTGAGCCACTAGGTGGCAGCAAAGTCCAGCAAAAAGACCCAGAGGCAGCAGGATGCCTCAGAGAACAGGCCCAGGGCCCTTCCAGTCCAGCTCACCTACCTACCTAACGGAAGAAGGGATTCTTTGGTAAGGCTGGTGTGGCCATTTCCCCCGAAAAGAACAGCTCAGTCGGCTTTGGTCCTCCTCTCCCTCCTCTCTCATCACCTGGGGAAGGGCCAGCACTGATGCTGAAAGGACAGCGTCTCTCCAGACTGCCCCCAGCTCTGGCCAGTAGGAAGGCAGGCGTGAAGAACAAGTGTGTGTGTTTCTGTTTCTGGGCTGCAG